CACTATTCGATCTCTGGCAGATGCAATGGACATTTCTCCTAGCCTCTGCGTCCATAAGATGATCAATATAACAACTGCACGATTTTCTTAAGTGAACAAGATAAATAACATAACAGAAAATAAGAAAAAAATTACACTGATAATCAATAAGGTAGTATATCGATTATTTTATCGATTCTTGTCCATCAACCCGGATCATCGATATTCGCATCGATGTAAAAACATAATATCTTACGTAATATAATACGTTATGTTACTACATTCACGTACTGAATACACTAGTATAATGGTAAATAAATATAACAATAAAATTTCGTGTTTTCTATCTGCACAAATGACGTCAAGAAACAAAATCTGTAATTAAAACGAATCATGGCTTACAAGGTTACGACGTTCATGTAGTAATTTTTACTTATAATTATGACAGATGAGTAAAATGTTTCCTGACACGGCTGATAAAACAGCACAGCAACATTTTAATTTATGAAGCAACTTTAATATTTCATTTCACAACAAAAATATATAAGAAAGCTATTATAATTACGTAGCAGAACACAAACATGGATTTTATTTCTGACAAAATCCACATAAGACAGACGAAGTCATTACTGCGATCGTCTGTGAGCAGATAAAAAAATATATTCTTTATATTTAAAAACGCTGCAGCGTGTAGATCATTTCAGTAATGGATGTTGGTACCACTGAGGTCATTAACTACTGAATCCGAGGGTCAGAGATGGAAGAATCCCGGTAAATTTGCTAATTTCAACAAAAAAACTTGAACAAGGACACCGAGGAATTAAAGAGCGATGTATTTAATGTGTGTAAATACGCCCGGTTGTGGAAAAAATATTCTTTTGATAATTTCTAATATGTAATTTATAACCCAGTACCAACTGCATTTACCACATGTTTTAAGAATTTGCAGCTTTGAATTTTGTTTTTATAGGACTTGTATGTTTCTGAAAGTACGAGGTGCGATCGGAAAGTTTCAAGACTGCGCCTATAAAAACCCGTACACTTATCTCAGGTATTAAATTCATCCATCACCCTCGAAGTAGTTCCCCTGGGAGTGAACACAACGATCCCAGCGCCGCTGCCAAGCCTGGAAGCATCCCTGGAAATCTTTCTTTGTCAGCCTGTCAAGCACCATCTGCGATTCTCCCTGAATCTCTTCTATCGTCTCAAATCGCCTTCCCTTTAGCTGAATTTTCATCTTTGAGAAGAGGAACTATGAATGTAGGCCGCACCCCCTAGCGGCAGAAGCTCGTACTACATCCGGTTCGCCCTCTATTGACACAGTCTTGAAACTTTCCGATCGCACCTCATAAACAGCGATTATATCCTTAAAAATTAAAAATCACTCTCATCTTAATTCGGGTCATTTGCTTGTAAGCAGATTAGAAGCTGTATACATTAACAATTACTGAATACATATCGATTGCATTTTTATCTGTGCGTCTACAAATATGTTTACGTGAAGGCAGCCATGTTGTCAAGTTCGGTAGTTTGCGTGAGTAATTAATCACTCGTAATGAAGTTTAATGTACAATGACAGTAAAAACCCGCACATACAAGAGATTTCTTGTCAGATGTACCACAATAACTTCCTACTTATGACATGTGGAAATTCAAATAGAATTAACGTGAAACTTAATTAATTTTCTGTTAAAAATTTACAAACATGGCCTTCCGAATGCAAAGAATTTCTTACGAACAAGACAGGGATTCGTAAGAACGTGTTTCGTACTACCATATTATTTGTTTTAGGACTAAACTGTATGGATTATATTCAGTTACTTAATGCACTCCGAAAAGATTTGGTACATTGTAGCTGTGCATTAGTTATGTTAAAACTATAAGGAAGGAAGAATTGAAAGTCAATAATTCAGTTAGGAGGGTATTATAGTACAATATTCTTATTGAAATTCTTACTTAAATAAAATTAGCGTAATAAAAATCTATTAAGAACAATAGTAAGATCTTTCTCATATTTATTTATAACAAGGATATGTTTTTCAAACTTACTTTAGAATAATGAGCCGGGATAGCTCAGTCAGTATAGTGACTAGCTACGGGCTGGACGACCGGGGTTCGATCCCCGACGGGGGCAGAGGATTTTTCCTCTAGCCTCTGCGTCCAGACCGGCTCTGGGGCCCACCCAGCCTCCTCTATAATGGGTACCGGGGTCCTTTCCCGGGGGTAAAGCCGGCCGGGGCGTGATGCTGACCACTCACCCCCATCTAGTGCCGAGGTCAAGGAAGAGAGGAGCTATACCTCCACTCACCCCAAACGCCTACATGGCGTATAGTGGGACAAACATTACATTACTTTAGAAAAGATGATATGTTTACTTTAGAATACATCAGGTAGTTTCAAGAAAACACAAATAGAAACTGGAAATGAATGGAATACACCAGATTCTTGTCCATGATAACGATAATGATGGATGTTAAACGAGGCATATCGGAAGGTTTAAAACTGTTCTTGCTACTTAACAATAAATAGGATGCAGAACATGGGTTAACTTGATATTTTAAGAACATGAAAATTATTTTTATCTTCTTAGCAAATGTGGATTCCGAATAAATAACTTATCTAAAAATTTCTGCGAAAATCTTCCATACAAAACATGCAACTGCGTGAATCTAATAAGAATTTCTACAGCTAACACTTATATAGTTAACGACTTTGAATGTTATTAAGACTCTTATGTATTCACCCTGATGACAGAAGCAATATATGCCTCCGAAACGCTGTTAATATACTACACTACCACATGGAATCATAGCCCAGAATACTATACAATCCTTGAAGATTTCCGTCTTCTGGGTTGTTGCGCTGTGTAGTCTGGTCGATGTTAACCAACGTTTCAGAGGTCATACTGCCTCCGTCATCAGAGTATGAAGATTTCTGTCTTCTGGGTTGTTGCGCTGTGTAGTCTGGTCGATGTT